ATCACATCACTTCCTGTAATTTAGCAATGACAGTGTCTCACTTTGTAGACCCAGCGGGTCTGGAACTTGTAGACCAGGTAGCCTTGAACTCAGAGATCTGCTTGCCTCTGTTTCCCAAGTGCTGGGATTAAGGAAAATGCCACCATGCTGGGCCTGGAATGGCCACTTTTTAGAAATTGATAATATTAGGGAAATTAAGGAATGGAAATGAAGTAAAAAATATCTGGATTGCAGCAGATCTTTGGCAATGTCTCTGGTAATTTCTTTGAGAACAATATAGGGAAGATTGTTAGAAGGGTTGTAGGTGCTTTACAAACCTCACCAGTGTTTAGAATTAGGCACTGTGATCTGAAAGCAGCTGTCACGTGCTGTGGGAGCAATACCTACCCTTGCGCCCACACTATTCACATTTTCCCATCAGTGATGGGTTAGAAATGTCAAGGATGTTGATGCTTGTTCAATAGAAGGACAAATGTTTGATTAATTAGTTCTGTCAAAAATTGAAGCCATCTGTCCTACACAGTAGTTACTGGTAGTGTTTAGATGCCTTGGAGGCCGTCTGTTGGCGGTGCTCAAGAAGAGGCTCCTGTGGGGTGCAGAGGGTGATTGGGTTACATTGTTTAAGGGTTTATTTTTTAGTTTTATTTTACATGTATGAGTGCTTCACTTGCATATATGTAAGTGCACCTATGTCATACAATGCCTGAAGAGGCCAGAGGAGAGTGTAGGATCCCCTGGAACTGGAGTTAAGGATGATAGTTAGTAGCCATGTGGGTGTTGGGAACCAAACCCGAGTCCTCTGCAAGGGTAGCCAGTGCTCTTAACCAATGAGCCATTTCCCCAACCCCTAAATTATGTTTAAATTCCTTTCAAATGCCAAGATTCTATGAGTATATTTTGACTATAAGAGATTTAGTAAAAGATCTTTATTGAATCTGTTGTAAACTTCCAATCTGTAAGTAGGAAGCCTAGAGCTTTTTATGTACCTAGTGCTGAGGTTATGTACCAGGGATGCTTACCCTCATGGGACAGTTATGACTTTAGACACATGAGACCTTCAAATAAGTGCGTACACATGAAGAAAACCATAAATAAGTTTGTTTCAAGGACAGTGATGATGGCTTGGAAGCAGTGACCCCAAGGAAACACTAGAGGAAAAGAAAATGCAAGCTCTGAGGGTCAGTTTTCTTTATAGTTAGATGTTTTCAACTGAATGGCTCTGCTGGAGTTTAAGCCTAGCTCATCTGCACAGAGCCGGCATGAGGTGAAGTTGGGGGCAGAAAAGGGGATACTTCGTGCTTCCCATTCCTGCCTTATGAACTTCCTTCCCAAGCCTGGATTAGGGAATGTTTCAGTTCTTTGTTACAAAACTGGCAAAAGTTAAACATGGGTGACTCTTCAGGTAGATACCCTTTTATTTATTTATTTTTTGTCTTTAATGAGACATCTAAATTTATCTGTAAGCAATTTTGAAATTCCTAGTGTCAGTAAACATTTTTTTTTTTGGGGGCGGGGGATGTAGAGGGATCTTTTAAATTGAATCTAGATGATATAGATTTCTTTTTAATTTTTTTATTGAGCTTTTGTATGTTTCATACAATAGTTTTTAATCAAATTTAAACTGTTCCCTTCCCCATGTCCCCCTCCCGCACGCCCCACTGGTCCTCATGTATTTTGCTATACATATTAAGTCCTATCCAGACAAGCATTTGTACCCAGATGTCCTTTGGTTCAAATTCACCTACTGGAATCTAGTCAGCTTATCTAGAAATCGTTGGTATGATCTACTCTCCATTACCCATTTCCCTGATCCACTCTGGGTCTTTGTCTGATTGAGTTGGCATGGGTCCTGTGCTCAAAGCCACCATTGCCACAAGCTTCCAGTGACCTGAAAGCCTCTGCTTCTCTATGTTCATGAACCAGCCCTGGCTCTTACAATCTTTCTGTCCCCTCTTCCTCAATGGTCCCTATCCAGGGACACACACTCTGTAGTCTCTTACTCTTTCCCCCCCCCCCCTGGTCTTTTTGAGACAAGGTCTCCCTGTAGCCACAGCTGGCCTGGATTCGCTATGGAGACCAGGCCCAGCTTCAGTCTCTTATTCTTTAAAAGTTGTCCAGTTGTGGTCTTTTGTGTGCATTGAACACTGTTGTATAAGGAGGCTTCGCTGGTGAGAGTTGAGGAATGCAAGTCTCTGCACCCTGTTCCACTATGTTCCATGAGTCTTAGGTGTACAGGTTTCACTGTAGATGTATCATCTAGGACTGGGTAAGTCTCAGATGTATATTCTCTGTATCTAACTAGTGGGGTTCTGTGGTAGCTTCCATCAGTTGCAAAAAAAGAAGCTTCTTTGATGAGTGGTGTATGGTATACTTGTCTGTAAACGTTAGGATCCATATTTAGCATATGGTAAGAAAGTTCATTTGCCTAGAGGTATGACAGAGAGGGTTTTCTCTAGGATCTATGACTTCTTAAGCCATGTCTTAACTGTTGGAACCAAGTTTCTCAGTTGTTAAGGCAAAAATTATGTGACTGGGTCAGTTCATTCTTGGTTCAACTCTTGGATCACATTTGCTGTGTGATAGTCAGATACAGTTGAGCCAATTCTTCTCTGAGGTTTACAAGGAGGTTCTGTGCTCTGGGTATACGGTTAGGGTGCTAAGGAAAGCTTTTACATGTGGTCCATACCTTCAAAGGGGCATGTGGAGCAAAGAAGGAGGAATTCTGCAGTGGGAGAGACCCCTGTGAAAATCAAGCAGAAGATGTCACTCTGACCACATTATTAATAAAATTGTATGAAGTATTTTAGGCACACAGAAAGTACTAAGAGTAGTATAACAAAACCTACATCAGCAGCATGTAGATTATAAAATGCAGCATCGACAGGGCACATGCACACCCACGTACACATCTCTCTGATTCTAACCACCTTTCTCTTGGAGGTGACTGTGATTCTGAGCTTCACACCCTGTGTTTTTCAGACAAGGCAAGGAAGCCCAGAAAGGTTGGGGACTGATGTCATCTCACACTTCATGCTAATGGGAGCCATAAGAAGCCTTCTGTTTCTTCTAAGGGTATGGGGAGAGCTGTGTAGTGTTGCTAAATTTGTACTGCTTCTCAGCCATGTGGATGTGATCAAGTATGCAATGTTTGTGAGGAGCCAGCCTAAAGATGGTGTTTGTGCTCTCTGTAGGCTGTGTTACTTTGCACAGTAAGCGTGAAGAATTGAAGGAATTGTAGCCAGCATTTACTTGTTTGGAATATTGAATTGGTATATAAAGTATAGGTGGAGACCATGAAGTTTGGGGACAGCCAGATGAACCGGCTATTAATATCCAAATAGCAATGAACTGTCACAGTGGTGTCACCAGGCTACAAAGTGGACCAGCAACACCAGTCAAACTCCTTTCTGAAGTCTCCCTTTCTAAATAGTCTTTTTAAAAAGGATTTATTGTTTGTTTTTTTTTTTTTTTTTTTTTTTTTTTTTTTTTTTTTTTAGTGTGTGTGTGGCGCAGGTGACTGCAGTTCCTTCAGGGGCCAGAAGAGCACGTGTCAGATCCTCTGGAGCTGGAGTTACCATCTGACAGTGCTGGGAACCAAATCTGGGTCTTCTGTAAGAACAGCAAGCACTCTTAACTCTTTCTGTCCTTCAGAGAAATACTCTTACTGAAATGAAAAATATCATTTAAAAATATTTTCCTAGAAAAGCATCATCAGGATATTGATTGGCTTCCTGGGAGAAATGACAGTATGAATAATGTATATTTGTTGTTGATGAAAACCTGAAGGGTTAAATAAATACCTGTGGAGCAATTACATTTTATTAAAAATAAGAAAACAAACAGGGTTACTTCTTTCATGCTGATGGAATGATGTGTGGTTTTAAAATTCTGGTGTAAGAGCAAAGCTTTTCCCTGTTTTCATTTATAGATTTTTTTGAACCTATGCTTTGTACCTTGTCACTGTCTTCTTTTCCCTTTAAAAATAACAGCTAGCAATTTTCACTCAGAACTCATTCACAGACATTGAAAAAGTGATATCTTTAGAGAAAACTTGCAGTTGATCACAAGGTCATCCATGAAACTTAATTTTAGCCAGAAAGCTGATGTCAGTGTCCATGAACGTCATCTAGACACTGGAAGCAGGCCCCACCCATGAAGGGCATTTGTGGGTTCATTGGTACAGGGGTCACAGGAGCTAACTCACCTCTCGGATGACAGTTGAAAGCTAGATGCTAGGTGCCTCCACTCTCTCCCCATGCTCATCCATTGGTATGCTTAGCTCCAGCTGGCTGATTTGCTGATTTGCTGTTCTCTGAAGTCTTGGGACAAGAAATGGCACAGGTTTGGGGATGTTTGCAGGTGTACAACTAGAAATCTAGGGTATGAACACAAGTCTAAACATGAAATTATATTTCATACATACCTCATACATATATGTGAAGGTAATATTACAGCATATTTTGAATGTGCCCATGTTTTGCCTGTGACCCATTGCATGGGGTCAGATGTGGAGTTTTTGTGGCATGATGTTGGTGCTCAAAATGGTCCAGATTTTGGAGTGCTTTGGATTGAGGCTTAGAGATGATATGTAATCTATAGTATTTTTTTCCCTTCCTTTGAGACAGGGTCTCAAGTTGCTCAGGCAGGCCTCTAGCTTGCTGTGTGCCTGAGGATATCTTTGAACTTCTGATCCTTTTACATCTACCTCCTAAACTGGGATTCTAGGCATGCACCATATTTATGTGGTGTTGAGGTTAGAACTTGGGGCTTCATGCATGCTGGGAAAGCACGCTACCAACTGAGCTGCAGCCCCAGCCCTGCCTTGTTCTTTTGTCTTTCTCTGAAGTGGATGTTGATGTGGAATCTCTTCCACTTGCCCTGTAAGGAGCAGTATCTGCCGCTTTACCCTTAACCTCATGAAACTTTAATGACTTTCCAGGACTGATAAGAGTTGTTGAGGACCCCACTTCAGACTTGGCAATTTTGCTTTTGTTTTTCAGACTGTTTATTCTATGGCTCCATTCCCTTTCCCGCAGTTGTCAGAGTTGAGGGAAAAGTATACCTACAACATCACACCATTCCCGGCCACAGTTTCTGGGTAAGTTTTTTTTCTTGTTTATATCATGGAAGACAATATCTTGATTTTTAAATTATAAATTAATTTATTAAACCCTCAAATATATACAAACTAATTTGGTACTTAAAATCTGAAATCCAAAGGTTTAGACTTGGAGTCAAGAGGGATTTTAAAGTATACTTTCCGAAGAAGTTTGGGACATGAACTGAAGAAATTATAGCAAATCCACAACTTATTTAGGGTTATAAAATAGCTAAAATTTCGGTAATTAAAACAGTGTGAAACTTGTATATCAATAGATGGCTGAGCTGATTTATAATATTGTTTATAAAGGCCAGAAATTCTTTCTCTCATACACATACCACACACACACACTCACAGACAAAATCAATGGTGATGAACGAAGCCTAATCAGGAAGAAAAGAGCCATACTTCACACCACATACCTGGATGAGTTCCATGTGGATGAAAGTGGTAAGTGACAAAAATTGAAATAATTTTCTGAAGAAAATGTGAAAGAATTCCCCTACTGCTTTGGAATTAAAGAGGCCTTAGTAATTGATTCAAAAATTCAAAAATGGAGGAAAAATATACCAAGTGCTTTAAAGAAATTTCCATATAATCCAAACTAAAACAGAACAGAACCTCCATAAGCAGACTCAAAACCAGTTGCAGAAATACATTTTTAACTTCTACAAAATAGAGGCCAATATCTCTAACATATGAAATTTCAAAAACTTAATTTAAAAATGGGTCACCCTATTGAGGAAAGGATGAGTATAAGCAGTTTATATAAAAGGTAGCATCAGTTGTATTAAGAAAAAATGCAGCTTAAAATAAAAAACTCTGGGGCTGGAGAGATGGCTCACCAAGTAAGAGCACTGGCTGCTCATGCAGAGGACCCAGGTTCTGTTCCTGGGTTCCATTTCTTTATTCTGTAAGCACCCACATGGTGACTAACAACCTTCTGTAACTCCAGTGCCAGGGGATCCAGTAGAAGAGGTTCTGGCCTCTGGGGACATAGCATGACATGGATGCACTTACACACATGCAAGTAAAACAGTCATACACTTAAAATTAAAAAATAAAGTTTTTTTTTTTAAATTAGAGATTGTTTTGTTGGTTTTTACCTATCAGAATTGCAAAAATTCAAAATATTACACATTGTGTAATGTTTGAATTTGGTTAAATATTTGTCCTCTGATAGCTTTTTGAAAATCTACTTATTCTGTAAGAATTCCATATATGTATATCATGTGTTTTAATTATATCCACTATCCCACTCCTTCCAACTCCCCTTGCACCCTCTCTAACACACCCCTCCCAACTTCATGTCCTCTTTTTTATTCTTTTTATACCCCACTGAGTCTAATTAGTGCTGCCTGTATGCGCATGGGTGTGGGGCTTATCCACTGGTGCATGACAACCTGCTAGTGGCCATATGTTTGAAGAAAGAATGACTCTACTCCAGCAGCCATCAACTGCCAGTAGCTCCTCAGCTAGGGGTGGGGTCTCTCAAGCCCCTTCATCCATACTGAAATTTTGACTGGCTTGATCTTGTGTAAGTCTTAAGTAACCATTGCTGCATGAGTTCATGAGTACAGTGGCCATGCCACATCCAGAGGCTAGCATTTCACAGCACTCCTCCACATCCTCCAGCTCTTTCATTCTTTCTGACCCTTCTTCTGAGATGTCCCCTGAGCCTTGGCAGTGGTGATGGGAGGTTTGAGACAGATAACTCATTTAAGGCTGAACACTCAACTGTCACTTATTCTCAGCACTTGGAATAGTTATGAATCTCTGCGTTAACTGATGCTCTCTGCAAAAAGAAACTTCTCTCACCAGTGTTGAAAGCAGCACAAATCTATAAATATAAACATAAGTATTTAGAAGGCAATTTAACAACAACGTTAACAGCTAAAAACAGTAGTAATAGCACCCCCTTCCCCAATGCTTGTGACCTCCCTAGCCATAGGCTTTTGAACAGGTTTACAGTAATGAGGCATGAATTCTTTCCTGTGGAGAAGTTCTCAGAAAGCAACTGGTTACTCCTGGAAGAGTCATGTCACTATTGGAGTAGTGGATGCATCTTGCCTTGCAGTTTGGTATTATAGCATGCGGGGTCCGGCACTGGGTAAGACCATTGATGAAGATAGATACTCTTATATGTTATTTGTGAGAGGTTATTTGGGGTTTGTGACAATCTGTTAGATAGTACTTACCCAAAATACTGCCGTGTATATCCTTTTACTCAGAACTCTATGATTTTCCTACAGATTTATTTTTATATATGCAAAACACATTGTTATTATAGTATTGCTTATAATCATGTAATACTGGAAACCACTCATGGGCACCATGAGCAGCCTGGTTCTATAACATGAACTCTATCTATATACATCACACAGCTGTGAAAGAACAGGGAAGCCCTGTATGAATATGAAAAGATTCTTATATGACTAAGAGTAAGACTCAGAAGAATATGTATGCACACTCAGGTTTATGCAAAGCAGAGAGACGTAAACTAGTTTTGTTTATCTATACATAGGTAAACTAGAGAATACAAAGTGACCTGTGGGAATTAGGTGGAGCAAGGCCCAGGCAGAAGCTGGTAGGGAAGAGAAGGGAGGCTTACAAATCATGTACTCACATTAACTGTGACATTTAAATCATGTGACAATATTACTTAAAAAAAAAATCACTGTTTTCTTTCTTTTTCTTCCCTTTCCAAGGCGACATGGAAAGGTCAGAGACAGTGATGAAGAGAATGATCTAGACGATGAAGATGCTATTGCTAGTGCTGTGGGATGTCTCGGTCCTTTCAGTGGGCTCCTGGCACCTGAGCTGCAGAAGTACCAGAAGCAGATTAAAGGTAAAGAGGGGGCCCTGGATTTAGATTGTTGCAGCATTCTGGTTCATGCAAATGAGGGCATTATTACTGTCTCGTAGGTGCTTGAGTAATTCCTTGAACTGGTTACTATCATTGAGAACTGTTATCAGAACATTTTCTCCATTGATTTATCATTTGGTAGGCTCTATCTGCATCTTCTGTTGTCTACATAACACACATTTCATTTTCTTTGTGGTAATATTTGCTTTCTGTTGTTCTTTTCACCATTGGATGCTGCTGTCCTTAGAACAGCCTGGCCTAGAGTAGACGCTCCCTACATCCTCCCTGGGTTTCATTCGGCTTGCTCTAGATGGCCTCTCTTCTTCCTTAGGACTGAATCTCTGAATTTCTTGAGGGAATAGAAACTCATTGTTTCACAAGACACTGCTGGAGTCTTCCCCTTAGCTTTCAGATTCAAGCTTCAAAGATGCAACCTCTACCTGTTGCTTCTGATAGCTCTTCCATCTGAACTAAGCGAGCGAGTTCTACCTTGCATCTCTCAGATCCTTGTATTACCTCAGGCTTTTTTGAAGGTCCACTTTAGAATTCCCTCCCTCCCTCCATCCCTCTGTCCCTCCGTCCCCCCATCCCTCTCTCCCTCCTTCCTTCCCTCCCTCTTTTCTCTCCCTCTTATCACCTTTTCTTTCTCAGTGCTGGGAATTGAACCCAGGGTCTCATACATACTAAGCAAGCCCTCTACCACTGAGCTATATTCCGAGTCCTCTTTTCAACATTTCTTATATGATTCCAGACATTTTGATAATCTATTAATTCACCCCAGATGTGTTGCGATTTGGTTTTGTCCCTCTTAATGTGCCACTTTAAATCAGTGACCATGCCTTGTTTATCTTCTGCAGGGATATAATCAGGAAGTGTTTGTTAAATGTGAAAAAGCATTTATTTCTAGTGAGACAATGATCCAAAATCTTGATATATTTATAAAAGATGTTGCTTTTTCTAACTTCAATAAAAACACATTTTTAATGACTATCTCAAAGCCTATAACTTGTCATCCCCTTGTGCATCCTTACTCAGTTGTGTGGACATCTGCACACTTATTATATCTGGTACTGTATTTTTTTAGGGGACTTTTAGAAAGTAGCATTGATTTTTACTTAGAGACAGTTGATCTTTTGTCAACATAATGAAGAAAGTGGTCACAAAATCAATGAGTCACATAGCTCATCTCAGATCAATAGGCCCATGAGAAAACACAGGAGCAAATCAAACCCAATACTAGGTAAATTCCAGAGTCTGGTTTTGTGGCTTAGATTTTCCTGGAGGTTAAGGCATTACACTGTAGGGTCATTTATTCCCATTTGATCCCCTTCCCCTTCATTGACCCTCGTGTTCCTTCCACGAGTGCAGAACCAAATGGGGAGCAGAGCCTGAGAGCCAACAACATTGCAGAGCTGAGCCCAGGAGCGATCAATTCCTGTCGAAGTGAATACCATGCGGCATTCAACAGCATGATGATGGAACGGATGACCACAGACATCAATGCCCTGAAGCGGCAGTACTCTCGAATTAAAAAGAAGCAACAGCAGCAGGTCCATCAGGTGTATATCAGGGCAGGTAATGGTATTCTTTGATCAATTTAAACTTAATCTTAATGTGTGCAGGGACCCTAGGATGGCCTCAGAATCATGAACTGTGACGCAGTCTATCAGTTCTTTTCTCACTACTTGAAAAATACTTGACAAAAATGAAGGAAGGGTTTATTTTGGCTTATAGATTGGGGCTGCAGTCCATCCTGAAGAGGAAAGCAAGGTGGTGAGAGTGTCTGTAGCTGGGGCACCAGGAACGTGAGGCAGCTGTCACATTGTGTGCACAGTTAGGAAACAGAGGGAGATGAGTACCAGTGCTCAGCCTGTTTTCTCCTTCCCACTTTTGTGTTCGTCTACAGCTCCAACCCATGGGCTGGTGCTGCTTATGTTCAGGATGGGTCTTCTCTCCTCCATGACAGCTCTCTAGAAACACCCTCACTGGCGTGCCTGGAGGTGTGTCTCCTAGGTTATTCCAAATCCAGTTAAATTGACAGTAAAGATTAGCCATCATACTCGTCATCCATAAATCTTCTGGCCTCACATAGTAGCAGACGTAACATCTTATTTTAAATTTTATTTTATCAGGATCTAAAGAAGAAAAAGACCTTGGGTTCTTTTTAGGTCCCAAGGAACAGGCAATAAATGGTATTAAATCTCATTTACTATGTATACTTGTGGAGAAGGGTTTACAAATGATTAAAATGTTGCTGAGCCATACAATCCTTGGACTTGAGATATTTTAGAAATTCAAACATTTGGGCCCATGAGATCACTTAGCAGGCAAGAGTGCTTTTGTTCAGGCCCCTGGGTTCAATGAGGAGGAAAAACAAAAACATAAAAAAGCTGGTGTCTTGCCGATGGGTGAGCTCCCAGTCTCTTGGGAGTATACTAAGAAGAACAATTGTAACATGGTTAGAAATGCTCTTTTGCAAGGATTGTCTAGTTGCTTTTTTCCCCTTTATAATTCCAAAAATCACAGTGAACAGTCTGCTTCATTGTTAAATATATGCTTAATTGGGAATGATTTTTCTTCTTTTATATAACTATCCTAATGAAAATGATCAAGAATTAACCAAGACATAAATTTGGCGTGTTTTTAAAGTGACTTGTGAGCATGTGACTGATCTTGGATGAAAACTGATCTCATTATCAGGAAAAATAAGTATATCCTGAAGGATTTTGCTCTATTCTGAATCATTAAGAAAGTGACCATGAAAGAGACTCACAATGATAGCACTTTAACTTTCAAACCATCGACCCAGGTGCTGGAGAGATGGTTAAGAGCACTAGCTGTTCTTATAGAGTACCTGGGTTTAGTTCCCATCACCCACGTGGTAACTCACAACTGTCTGAAACTCCAGTTCCAGGGGTTTGCATGTCCTCTTCTGGATTCTGCTGGCGCCAAGCATGCAAGTGGCGTACATATGCACATGCATGCATACTCATACACATAATATAAAAAAAAACACAAAAATATTGGCCCATCTATTTCCCATTTGTCTTAAATCCAATTGCATGTCCTCTTCTGGATTCTGCTGGCGCCAAGCGTGCAAGTGGTGTACATATGCACATGCATGCATACTCATACACATAATATAAAAAAAACACAAAAATATTGGCCCATCTATTTCCCATTTGTCTTAAATCCATGAGGAAAACTTAATGGTTGTCCAGCATTTACAGTGATACTGACTGATAAGGCCAGGGCTAGACCCTAGGCTCGTGATCCTTTTGGGTAGTCCTCTTTCAATTACACTGAAAAACATCTTTGAGTGGGATGGTAGTCAGTTGCCATTGGGTTTTAAATTGGTTCACTGGCTTGCACTGTAGTCAGGGATCAGCGTACTGAGGTCTGCAGACCAAATCCTGCCCATTGCCTATTTTTATAAATAAAATTTTTGTGTCCTTTGTGGTTTGAGAGGTTTCAGGCCATGGTTGTCTGGCTCTATCACCATGGCCTGAGAGGGAGGATAATGGCAGAAACTTATTGTGGAGGAAAGCTGCTCAGCTCCTGGCAGGCAGAAAGCACCAGAGACAGAGAAGAAGAGGCTGGAGACAAGTTATACCCTTTAAAGGCATGACTGCAGCTTCCCAGTTAACACAGTTTCAACCACTTCCAAACAGTTCATTTTTGTTGTAAATCCATTAAGGAACTCATCCATCAATTAGGTCGAAACTATGATGATGCACCCACCTCTCAATGACTAGACCCACTAGCTGGGTGAGCTTTTGTGGGGAATACATCCTATCTAAATGGTAACATATCCCTTTTCAGTGCCCTGTTGTCTGAGAGGAGGGACTTGGCACCACAAGTCCCTGGTACTAGGGTTGAATTCAGTTTCTACCATCCTCAGTCACGTGACTCTGCCAGCACCTGGGAAGTCCGTGGGAAAAGATACAGGGAGGAGCTCCGTGAGATTGCTCTTTAGATGGATGTGTCTCTTTGTGGTGTGTTTCACACAATCTTTCAACCTTTCTTTCAGACAAAGGGCCAGTGACCAGCATTCTTCCATCTCAGGTAAATAATTCTCCAGTGATAAACCATCTTCTTTTAGGGAAGAAGATGAAAATGTCAAATAGAGCTCCCAAGAATGCAGTCATTCACATCCCTGGCCACACAGGAGGCAAAATATCTCCTGTTCCATATGAAGACCTTAAGACGAAGCTCAATTCTCCGTGGCGGACTCATATCCGAGTTCACAAAAAGAACATGCCAAGGACCAAGAGTCACCTGGGCTGTGGGGACACCATAGGACTGATAGAAGAACAAAATGAGGGCTGCAAGGCCAGCAGCCTGGGGGCAGCTGAGGAGCTCCGCTCTGGTTGCGCAACAGCAGCTCACAGTGGGGGCAGCAGCTCTGAAGGTGGTACGGTGAGGACAATTGAGGGACAGTCTCCAGAGCCAGGATTTGGGGATGCTGATGTTGATGTAGCTTCAGTTCAGGTGAAGTTAGAAGCCTTGGAACTGAGCCAAAGGGATGCCACTGCAGAAACTGAGCCCAAGAGGCACCTTGCTTGCCAGCAACATGTCACAGAGCCAGCCGATGTCCCTAGAGAAAACCAAGCTTTCAGTAAGCCTCCCCCGGGCAGCAACTCGAAGACCCCCATCTTTAGCCCTTTTCCTAGTGTCAAGCCACTGCGGAAGTCAGCCACGGCCAGGAATTTGGGGTTATATGGTCCTACAGAAAGAACCCCAACTGTGCACTTTCCTCAGATGAGCAAGAACTTCAGCAAATCCAGTAGTGGGACCAGCAGCACCAAGAAACGATGATGCTGCCCAGCAGCCCAGTGTCTGCTCACATGGGCATGGTGGCATAAGGATGCCAGCTGCACCTTCCTGTTGTGTTTGTCCAGTGAAAATGAATGGAGAGGTTCAGAGACGAGCATCAACAGCCCATCAAAGTGGGCATTGGAAGTTTTATACTTTGAACGAGGATAGGGATGTTTCCTCATCTGCTTGGCAACTGATGAAGTGGATTCTTGTGGCATAATAAATCTTGTGCTTTTCAAGTGTGGAGTTTTCCCATTTCCTTGTGAGATCTTTAGAAAAGATGATATATAGACTGTTAAGCTCTCTTCTGGCCTTCTCGGGGTCCTGGTGACAACACACTCCCCTAACCTTCCAGTTCTCTGGATATTACTAATTCTTAAGCATGAACACACCAGCTTGCTAGAACTGAAATTGTAGAAAGAAAGTTTCTTAGTTGCAGAAACTTCCCGATATTCCTCTTTCTGCTCTTTTAGGGCAGGGAGGGAGGTGTGGTGTGGTGTGGGGTGTGTGTGTGTGTGTGTGTGTATACACATGTACTTAGCACCTGTCTCCAAATTGTTTTTATTCTTATGCTAATAGTAGCAGAAAAATTAAGCTAGCCTTTCTTTAACTTTGTAATTCTATCTAATGAAAGAAAACCTTGAAATCAGTTGAAATTGAAGTTGGTAACCAAATTGAAGATCATACATGGAGAATTCACATGGGCTATGCATTAAGCAATGACTCCAAACTGCTTGCTAGCACCTGTCTCCAAATTGTTTTTATTCTTATGCTAATAGTCGAAGAAAAATTAAGCTAGCCTTTCTTTAACTTTGTAATTCTATCTAATGAAAGAAAACCTTGAAATCAGTTGAAATTGAAGTTGGTAACCAAATTGAAGATCATACATGGAGAATTCACATGGGCTATGCATTAAGCAATGACTCCAAACTGCTTGCTAATTCCACCAAGCTTTTCTCAAGGCTTTTTTTTCTCCTCTTGAGGAGAGTACTGGGCCTCGATGATACTGAAGACTGGATGGGCTCTGTGTGGCTTACTGTGCAGCCTCTGCTACACAGTTTCTTCACCTACCTGTTCTCCACAGCAGTCATGCACCATCTCTGCTCAAAGCCAGAACATAGTACCTGTGACTGTTACTTGAATTTTGTGCTTCTTGGATTGAGTGCTTTGCTACTTGAACACTGCCTTTCTTCTGGAGAAGGTCCCAGCTCTTTCCAGCTCTCACTCCACTCCTGCCCTGGTCCTGGCAGGTCAGAGATAGCATCTCTTGTCTCCACTATGCATTTGGGAACTCTGAGCCACACAGAGGTGAAGTGGCACTTCAGTTGCTCAAAGTAAAGGCTCCCAGTGTCCCTAGGACCTTACCACATGTCCTCCAGTATGATAGGCTGGCCTAGTGCTCTTATCTACAGAGCTTGTACAAGCCAAGACTGGGAAAGCCATTCACCACACACCCTTCTGACTCAAAGGACCTTTCTGCAGATGGTACAGAGTCCTGGAATGGTATTTCACAAAATGAGCTCTGACCACCACCTCATGAAAAATTGGTTCCTTCTCACAATGCTTCATGCACCAATCCTTTGGCTGAATGAAGGGCTCACCTCAGCCCCTACTTTTAATAGCAGAACAGAGTCACTGTTCATCTTTATCTTTGGAAGCTTTTGGTAGTGTTTGCAGGAATATTGTTGAAGTAGTCAATATGAATTTGAATGAACTGGTTTGCTAATTCTCAAGGCAAAGCCATAGTTTTAGAGAAGGCTTTTTACCGTGACAGGCACTCTTTTTATCAATAAAATAGAATGTAGTTGTGTGGGTTTTTTTGAACAAAACCCTCACAGGAATGACACATTTTATCCCCCTTGTTGTATTTTTACCCTCAAAGGAATTGGAGATGGACAGCATGAGTAATACGTTACTGCAGTTTTGGTCTAGAGCTCTGTGCTATCCGAGGTGAACAGGCGGCTTAACAAGCAGCCACACCCGCAGCCTGTTTTGGGGAAGGGTGTGGGTGGAGAGTTAGGCTTGCTTAACATGCTAGCGCCAGGAGATGAGACCCACTGTTCTCCAAAGTTAAGCACATGAAAGGAGGTTCTGCCATCTGCTAAACTTTTCATATAATGAGACTGCCTCATGATCTTTTCTGTCCCCTCCCTCCCCGAATCTGAATCAAGTCAGACTAGGCTTTGGGGTTTTTTTGTTTTTGTTTTTGTTTTGATGTCTGACAAGTAGAAAACTTCTTTCTCTTGTGTGCTTCCTGGCTCCCTAGGGGTCTGGGGAGGTGGGTAATGGGGTGGAGCTGTCTACTAACTGCCTTAGTGTGGACAGCACTTCTTGCTGGGCTCTGTCAGGGTCTCTTCTCATTTCCTGAGATAGGGACAAATGAGATGGTCAGGATATGGGGTAAGTATTGGCTGAATAATTGAAAGGAAAATATTTTTTGAGGTAAAAATGACCTTGTCAACAAAAGCAACCCAACAGATTCCTATTAAAGCACTTTGTACTAACAACATGTGCATGCACTGTACCAAGTAATCACAATGTGAAGCGGTCCACTTCTGAGCCTTGCCTTCTTAGAACATGAACTCTGTAGCAGCCTCTATCACACAGCATGCACAAAGGCCAGTAGAGACTTGCTGTCTTCCCCATGTATTGGACACTGTATGCAAACACCAGAAGTACTTAACAAGTAGCAGTTTGTTTCTAGGTCTGCCTGTACCCTCTCAGCACTTTTTCTGCAAGTCAACTCTACACCTCAGTCCTCTTTAAAAAGCCTCCAGATCTAAACCTAGTTTGTAATGTCAACCTATGGCTGTAACTGTTTGGAACAATCTCTCTCTCTCTCTCTCTCTCTCTCTCTCGTCTCATTCTGAAGAACTGTACCAATTACAAAGATATATGCATAAAGATATTCATTGTTGTAGTGACTGTGTCATTTTCTGTCCGAATGCACGAACAAAACCTTAAGTTGATTTCCCTTCTCCTGCAATCACTTCTCACCACTTTCCCATCTACATCCCACTTGGTCACAGGAATCAGGGAATCAGCCCCCAAAGCTCTATCTCCCCCAATCTTATCATTGGGTTGCAGGGTACCCTGTGACCTGCCCAGAATAGCACTTCCTGAATGCGAGCAAGAGAAAGAATGTATATGTGTGTATGTACAAATGGGCTTGGACCAAAGATTTTCCTTTGTTTAGTAAAAGAGAACAAGACTACAGTTTTAGGCACTTGAGAGTGGTTAAGAGCACTGGCTGCTCTTGCAGAGGACCCAGGTTCAGTTCCCAGCACTCACATGGTAGCTCACAACCGACCATCTGTAACTCCAGTTCCAGGGGATCAGATACCTTCTTCTGACCTAAGCAGGCACCAGGCATGCACATAGTGCACTTAAATACATGCAAGCAGACATTCATAAAAGTCTTTAAAAAAGGAGTTTATACAAATTGAGAGCTATGATTGGGTACCAGTTGCTACAATTTCTCTTATAAAATATTACAGTTTTCAAGCTACTTTCTTTGCTATCTACAGCAGCCATTTGAGGGAGCATTTAGCATTTAAATTTTTTCCCAATTAGAATAACGTTTTAGGAACTTTAGGAAATACAAAGAGTACAAGGATTCATGCATGTTCTGGCATGGATCTTTCCAGTATCTTCTAAATCATTATGTGCATGTATGCACATTTTGCACACTTCCCGTGGGTTCCAGGGGTTGCTAGGGGTGCACAGCAAACCCCTTTACACACCAAACCATCTTGTCAGCCTTTTTCGGTATGTCTTTGTATATGTGTGTACACACACGTATTTACAAAAAGGTATGCTGAACATAGCAGCTTAGGCTATATTTCCAGTAAATACTCTTCAGCATCATTCCAGTGATCAGTACTCTGTCACATGTTCTTGGCAGAATTCACATAACCCACAACCTTGCCAGATGAGGTTTCTGATTGCAGAGCATATGGGAGAGGATGTTCTAATAAGTACATCTGTGTACAGCGCCCTAGTAGGGCATGTTCATAGAGTTGCAGAGTCAACTCTCAATTGTCATGTGACATCTACACATGCATCAGACACAGCTGCAAATTGGTGTCTTTAAAGGGTGACTGTCCAAGTAGTAAATAAATGCCTACCTACCTTCCTCTTTCTCCCTCCTCTCCCTCCCTCTCCTCCCTGTTTCCACCCTCCCTACCCTTTCCCACTTCCTCCCTCTGTGCAGTGTTAATAGAAGTGTGATGATGATCATCTCTCTTGAGTGGGAGAACACTTGCCTAGCATGCACAAGGCTCTGGATTTTATCCCTTACACCCAGAAGAAAAAAGTCCCGTTAATCCCATTTCTGATATTTAAGGAAATGGTTAAGATTTTTTGCAGAGGTTTCTGTTGAGTACCTTTTATCAGGCTAAGAAAATTACCTTTTATTCTTTGAATTCCAAAGTTTTAAATTATTGGGTGTTGAATTTTACCAAATGCACTCTAATTGCATCTTTTAAGAAGGGAGTAGTACTTGAGACAGTATTTTAAACTAAAGAAAATGGTAATTACCAGGTTTCATCAGTGAATATTAGACATTTTAGATTGACATGATGGCAGTAAAAGTTTTTAAATTTAAATTTATTTTTTTCCAAATGTGAAGACAATATTAAAGATTGAAAGAAAAACCCCTGGCCTTGATACAGGGGAGAAAGAGCATCCCCTAGTGGGTTCTTAGGTTCATTCATAAAATAATTTAAGAATGGAGCCAAACAGAAGCTTTAGGACAATTTTATTAGAATTTTAAAGAAGAATCCTCAAGGCAGGCGAGGTGGAAATCTTGGTAGCTGCCTTGGGGAGAATGGAGAGGAAAAGGAAAACCATGAAGCCAAGCAGGTTTAGAGCCTGCTTGGAGGTCAGACTCGTGGCAGGAATGAAGGAAACTTTAGAGGACAAGTAAAGAAATGCAAGATCCTGGGGCAGCCAAAAGCATTAGAGAAAGCATGCTTAGAAAAGGGGTATGAAGAAGAAAAGGAGAGAGATTACAGAGACCTACATGTCTATGGCCTGGTCTGGAAGCACTGCACCAGGAAGCAGGACTCCAGGCAGGAAAAGTTCACTATCTTATTAACACACTAAGTATTCCATCTACTTAGCATACTTTAAGATGAACCTGCCCTCTTAGAGGTGGTCCTATGGCCAGATGATTGACAGATGAAAACTGGAAATGTGGGTCTTCCAGCAAACTAGAGATTTTAAGACTACTCTGACAACATGAACGCTGTAAATATCAGCAGAGGGGAATGGAGCAGAGACGGGGAAAAGGCCATGGCATTTGAGTTAACCCGGCACAGAGGTCTGACATGGTAGGAGCAGGGTTTTAGTTAGGGAAAGCATGCTTAGAACAGAGAAGAAAGGGAAAAGGTATGCTTTGCTGAAGCAGATTTACTAAGCCGCATGGCTGTGTCCCAGTAAGCTAGTGAGCA